TTTACACAGTACTAATGAGGAAAGCCTCTCTTCCACTTTGCAAAGCTGCAAAGCCATACCGCTTCTCCTTCCGACCTTACCTTGCGCTACTCTATACAGCCGAACCCCTTCCCCACCACAGGGGACTCCTAGCGGTCCCCTCCATCACAATTGCCGACGCCCAAGAAATCCTATCTCTTCGTCAACGACCAGGGGTGACCCTCTCTCACTGAGTACAGCCCTCCTGCCGCCAAGCCAGTTGAAGATACACTACTGGTGCATCAACAAGGCAGGCGGAGGTCATTACAGTAGCCCTTCGGGTTTCAGTACGGCATTGAATAGCCGATGAACTCAATACACTACATAGTCCTGACCATCATGGACTTCCATCAAGAACGTCTCAGTACAAATGCTACCGCCACTGGGTAATACCAGACGTCCCCGGCCTTACCAGTGTCCATGACGCAATGATGGACTCTCGAGCATATATCCTCTTTACAAGCTCTTATAGTACCATCCAAACTGCAACCTAGTGCGAATAGGTGTAAACGGCTCTTTGGGCTGAACTCACTTACCGACTAGATCGCACTCGGCGTTGAGGCAAAGGCCAGCAACAGCATCCTCATGTCCACACAATACTTTCACTAGTCGTTCCGCACTGATGCTATACTTCAGTATCTCATTTCCACTACCACAGTATAGGAACCTATAGGGTTTTGAATATCGGCCCACTGAGTTATGCTTGCCGGCCTAGTACTTGCTATACCGTGAAAACACCGGTTCCATTTTGGAAAGATCACCCGATATAATCTCCGCCCGTAGGGAAAGAGCGGCTTTATTGAGACGTCCGTCGCAGGACTCATACGGGTGAGCCTGATGAAGTGGCCTGCGATGCTTTTTGTCACCGTCACGCGCCACGAAATTAACCAGTCTAGGGTTCGAATCCCACCCACCGCTAACAAACAACGGGATCATAGCGAAATAGAGAATCATACATATACTCCTTGACGATGAAATTATTCTAATTAACGTCAAAAGGGTTTACCGAGTCCGTGCTAGTTTTTCAAAGTGAGCCCGTCACCGGCAAATTCCGTTTGGGTTGTAATCGATTTCGTGTGGTTTGTTTGAGTTCCATAGTTCACTAGTAATAGAAACGAAATGGCTGAAGGGGAAGTGCTATTCAAATTCGAGTTGTGGACTGAGCGATCTGTGGGCGCGAGTCACTGAGCCAAGGAACGCTACTCAGTTTGCTCCGTATCGATCGATTAATGTCTTCCGGTCTCCGCGGTTCTGAACAGCCCCCCAAGCAGTGGCGAAAGATTGTCATACTATTTGGACCCCCAGGTGCCGGTAAGGGCACTCAAGGGCCCAAGATGGAGGAAAGTAATACTCAATGGGTTGTTACTCTCGATGGCTAAGTGTTGGTGTGATATCAAATTGCTCATGTTCAGCTTACAAGATCCCCCAGCTCTCGACCGGCGACATGCTCCGGGCTGCCGTCGCTGCCGAGACCCCTATTGGACTGAAGGCCAAGGATGTGATGGCCCGCGGCGAGCTCGTCAGCGATGAGATCGTCATCGGGATCATCAAGGACAGGTGATGATGATACTACCCTCGAAAACTCTGTGACCTGCATGTCGGCATCTATCAACTTTGCAGGATTCAGGAGATAGATGCCGGTTGGGGTTTCATTCTCGATGGCTTCCCGCGCACCGTTGAGCAAGCAACTGCGCTCGACGCCATGCTCGCTGAAAACGGTGAGCGTGTTACCAAGGTAGTAGCTCTACTCGCATTTCTGCCGGTAACGCAATACTGACGCTTTCGTGCATACCCTTGATTTCACCAACGAATACTGTGACATGTCTCAGGTCATCGTTCTCGATCTACCCGACTCTGTGCTCGAGGAGAGGATTTGCGGTCGATGGATCCACAAGCCCAGTGGACGTTCTTATCATGTCAAGTGAGTGCGGTTATGACGTACCCTTTGATCTGTCGATTTGTATCATGCTCGCTTAACAGGTTCAATCCCCCGAAGTCTCTGCCCGCTGGCGCCGCCCCTGATGCCACCAACATGCTCGATGACGTCACTGGTGAGCCTCTCATACAGCGCCCTGATGATACTGCTGAGGCCCTCAAGACCAGGTAGACCTTTCGTTCACTGATCACAGCTCACGGAATGTGTTGACATCGCGGTAATGGTCAGGTTGTCCGCCTATCATTCGCAAACTGAGCCCATTGTTGCGCACTATGCCCCGACGAAGGTTGTCGAGCACGTGGATGCCAACCAGGGTATGGAAAAGGTAATTCAGATGTTCTCTGCTATTGTCTTCGCATTGTATCACGTTTTAGGTTTGGGAGGAGATCCAGACGGCTATGAAAGCTTAAGCATCTCTACTGTCGTTTCTTCTAGCTCATTTTCGGAGAGGAGAATTGCGTTCGTCAGTGTCAGTGTATCAGATCATAACGTATTTTAGTGGAATCGCTTGGGCATAGCCTTAGAGCTGGGGATGAAGACCGTTTTTGTCTGGTCAACGATCCACCTCCAGGCATGCAAGGCGAGTCTAATGACGTGGAGCAGTGATCTGATCGAAGGACCATTTTGAGTCGAGACGGTCGATACTATCGACCTATTGATATTGAATTGACGAATTGTTTTGTATTTTACTGCTTTTGTCAATATCGTGATCAATGTAAGCCTTACATTGTAAGGTATGCAGGAATAGTAACCTGGTCTGTATCCGCATAAAGGTTCTACCGGAATTTGAACCCAGATCGCCAGATTCAGAGTCTGGAGTGCTAACCGTTACACCATAGAACCAAGTTATATATTATGAATTATCAGCCGTATCAAGCTGCAATAATTCAGATTAGACTGGTCATTTCGGATTTTCTCCACGACCCCGATACTAAAGGGCAAGTGTCCGACGAGTAGAACACATAGTCTTGTTCTGGCTCGTATGCTACGAGGCAGAGCAAGACTGTGTGTTCTTCATCTTATTTTCTTCCCATTACAAAGGGCGAAGGTGGACTTCGTATCCGATTCTAATTCTTCATTGCTTCTTGGTCATTCTCTGATGAACTTCAAGTCTTTGAGCATCCCGTAACTTGAACGAGTATGACTGGATCGTGGTCATTGTACTCCCCCTTACGAAAGGTATTCATGAGACACACTGCTCACGTCGCGAAGTTAGGATGGCGAAACACCGGAATAAGCCTAATACGATCTCTCGGAGTCTCCAGCGATCACATATATTGTTCCATGCTGTGGATCTCACAACGTAGCCGTTTCAGCAGCTATAGAGGCTATACCCCCACTGCTGAGGCTCGAGACCAGTACCCGCCAATAGGTAGGGAGTTCTATCTCACGATCGTTGTCTGCGTGATAGAATTCACATAGGCTTACTCGATGAACACAATTCAGTCGCGCAAAAAGATATTTTCTTAACATTTGCAAATAACGATGAGCGATACTGGTGCTAATGCTACTGTCAGTGGACTGATCACTCCTCTTTCTCCTTAGTCCTGGCTACATCCTCGCTAACTATCTTAGGACCCCACTTTTCGAAGATGAGATCAACACCGTGTTCGATAGGCTTATCGCATACAGTGGGAAGGACTGAAAATACGAGTTGATGAATCACACTGTCGACCAGAACTGCAATTTCACGCGTGGTGACAGTGCTGATACGCATTCACATGCAGGCCAGCAGAGCTACATACTTACAAGGGACAATTGCCAAACCAATAATGGTAGGGCCCCCTTGAAGTAGGCGTGCGTTCTTGACAGCCATACGACGGAGCACAACACCAGAATAGTGTACAGTAGAATGACTGACAGAAAAAAAACCAACAGTGTGGACGCATCTAAACGGGGAAGTTTTACATAATAGCAAAGGGCAGAGCCAAACTAGCTACCATTTGAAAGGTAGTGGCCTTAGCTGCCGCAGTCCATACCCGAATTTTGTGATCAGCAAGATCCTTGGTACGCTTATACTCAAGCCAGGTAGAATAGCCGATGTCACCCTAACATTCACCATGCGAGAAGTGAAAGCATATTCCTCCTCACAAAGATATATCCAACCGTAGCAGCATAAGAGGTATTGACAAGCCACCTAGGGACTACTGGACGGAAGGCCTCGCCTACATCAGAGGTGAACGCTAGGTATCTAACTTGTCTAGCCGACGGTGTAATCTACTCAGACATAACAATAAGCGATGTGACGATCAATGAATGCATTACTCACCACACGAAGAATGCGCTGAGCAAAGGCGAGATAACGAAGTTGGGTGTCTCTAAAAATGTCCCCTTGCTCTTTGGTGTGGTAGTCATAGATCTCTATCCCAGCGGACGGAGCGATAGCCTCTGTAGTTGTTGCAGTACTAGTCGTGGTAGTAGACATCGAAAACGTGGAGGTATCAGAAAAAGTAAAACGAAAACACATTGGTCACTATAATAACGCATGTACTTCAGAAAGGCACTGAAAATGCTCATAATATGGCTGCTGAAATTCACGGCAGATTCACGGGGTGATGATCATCAGCAACGTTCAGTGCGGTGGTCGATCACAGTCGACTTTCTCCCAGCTGCTTAGTCAATTAGAACTTGCTGATGATAATGTAGCGAACGATACACTCAAGTGGTGGACAGTGGTGCTAATTAGCCAAAGAACAGCAATGATATCGTTCATTCCAAAAAAACTCTGAGTCGGTCTAGCTAGACCGAGATGTGAACACCTGTAGGGCGCTGTGGCCGATCGGCAACAGATGATGAGCGCGATTCTGCTGCCACTCAGCCGCGGACAGATCGAGGCAAAGACGAATCACACCGCTAGATGTTGCAACTGCCAGCAGAGAAAAACCTGAGGGAACCCGAAGTCACTAGTATTCCCCAAACGCCCTACATTCGGCACTGCGACCAACTCTACCAAATACTGTATCAACCAGAGGATGCCCTGACAAAGCCTGTCGTACTGGACCTACACAGATCCTCATGCTGCCAGGGATCAGCAGCAGCAGCAGCCCTCCTTACAGAGAAAGGATGCTGTACAAAATGCCGAGCCGGACTGGGAACCTGCAGCGTGGCGTGGTGATGAGAGAGGCTGAGACTGCAAAGACGGGGATTCCGGAGGGGTTAGCGATGTGGTCCTGTCGGATTGTCGTCGACCTGGCAGGTGTATCACTGCAATCACCAGATGGTCTAACCTCACCTATACCGTCTAGCAAGTGGCATACCAAAGGGGCCTGATTGGTATCTTTAGTGGCGTAATCGACACTCCATCCACAAAACCTATGGGGAACACTAACAACGTCACGCCCTCTAATACTCTACAGAAATTATGATTTTGCAAGCCCATTACGCAAAGACTAATCGCCTAATCAGTTGCTGATGATAGCTCATTTCTATTCGCCAGATTTTGAATGCACACTGAGCCGCGACAGATAGTAACAGTAGCAAGTGTAGGGGATACTCACCATCCGGTCTCTCCGACTGAAAGAACCCTCTTCGTTGACCCTGCCGACCAAGTGGCCATCAGCATCATGCTCTGATTAGTGTAGTATAGCGATGACTTGAATTTGGTTCGTTTCGACAGGTCTCTCAGATGTACAATCCTCACTCGAGAATCTCCGCAACACACCAATAACCTGACCTCACAGCATCAGGACTGTAACCAGTAGCAGTTGCTGCGATAGGCCTACACAGTGTGCACATGGTCAACTACATGAGAATTTTTAGGAAAATATGGGAAATTATTGTTAGTTTCTGCGCACTTCTACCCGAGTTCGTCTACAAACTTCGATAACAATTGAGAAAACTCTCGAGCTCAGGTGAGGAACTCCAGGATATATTCCAACAAGGGGCTTACCTCTGGCCCGATGCATCCCACTGTATAGAAGTAACCTTCCGACCATTACGGAGTTTACCTGCCCGATTGCGGCAGTCAAACACTCCCTCCCCCCTCAAGGACTTCATCAAGAACAACGATACTGTACCCACTGCCGACCCCACAGCTATCTGGGACCCTGACAAGCCCGACCAGTGCTGGCGAGCCTGACTAGATGAGGAACAAGAGCCTACCATCTGGAGACAGCGCCACGCAGGTAGCCATTTGATCGATCTTCACCCGATGCCTCAGATGAGGCTGCTCCCGAGCATTCTCGGCCATAGAGTAACTAAACCGATAATCCAGTCACGGGGCCATCCATCGGTACATCTCAATGGTCCCATCCGCGCATGCTATCATCAGAAATCTCTTGTTTGAGTCCTTAGCTGCTGGCGCCGTACCTATCCCGCCAGCATTCTTGGCTCGATTACACCATCACTCACTAGCATAGGTGGGTATCAGTGTCCCTTTACTAGATGGAGAACTACTGTGTGCAAAATGACGTAGAGTGTAGACGGGACGCTTGGATTCTCTCGGCATCCAGATGCAAGTCGAAGCATCGAGTGAGCAGCTGATAAGCTGACCTCTAGCTGCCCAGTGCAAACATGATATACTGTCAACGTGACCTGATGAGTGTAGGTGAATACAAGCTCCAGTAGCACTACTACTACTACTATTACTATTAGTATTACTATTAGTATTACTACTACTACTACTACTACTACTACCCTTTAGTATGGTCTCGGCGTTCTTAGTGTATACCGAACCGTATTCCCTGGTCCAGAGGTAGATCTCACCACTAATGCAACCTGATAGGTAAAATGATCGTCATTGAAGAAAGCATTGAGTCAGATCACAGTAGTGCGGACTAGGAAAAGTCCGCACACGTAGTGCTCTCGAATAATATCCGATCCCACTAAGGGTATCAGAATATGCTCGAGCGTTGATACCCCGTCCATCTCCTCCAACAACTTGAGACTGCCGAGCGAATAGGTACAAGTCAACAACGTCAACGCCACGGAACATAAACCCAATATTCTTACCAGCTGCTATGTCTCCACAAGACCCGCACACAGTGAGTTGAGATACTACGCAATCACTAGGGAGGCTCATCTCGCTGAGCTGCAGAACCTGGCCAGTAGCGTCTAACGTAACACTATTTTCAACTGTGCTCACGCAAGGAGTCCTGGAAAAGGGAACGCTCGTGAGCAGTGGCACCACTGGTATGGACGCTGCTCCGCCACCGCTGGTGGTAGATTCATTCCCATTAGAGCCTCGGCGATCCTTATTAAAGATATTCTTCAGTCGCTGGCGCATCTACTCAAACGTTTCGGACCAACGCCCGTGAAGTGACACTCACATGAAGACCAGTGATAGTTTTACCGCGCGTTGCGAAGCTAGATACCGATTCACTGCGAGATACCGTATCTACTGGTCATCATTCTAGGACATGTACTCAGATGTACCATCACCATCGCCTCTGTCATCAGAACCAGGGGGCGGTTCGGATCGGTCGAGAACAGACTGCTCAGCAGCCGAGTCGCCCGATTCATCGAAGATAACAGTGTCCATCGGCGGAGCATCTGAGCACATAATGAGCATCACTATGCCCACACAAGCCGTTACCACCAGAACCACCGTGACGACCGAGAGGTGGTACCAATGTTTGAGGAAGAGCCGATTCTGATACTGGTGATTGCGGAGCGCGAGATGCCGGCTCCATAGGGGACGAAGTTCGAGATTCTGATGAGATTGGGAGTCCACAGTCGGTGATATAAGTGGGAATATACCTCCAGGGGTGGGCAGCAATGCAACTTGCGATTCGTCCTCCGCTAGAGCTGCCTTGAGCATCTCTACTGACGTGGCGGCCTGCGACGGAGGAACAGTGTTGAAGGAATTTATGTTCGCTTCCCTCAGTTGAGGTTTCTTCACTTAGTATAGGAGTTTATATACGGATCTAGGTAGGAGTGGTCAGAAACCAATAAGAATTTCCGAAAATTTCCTCGAAGGTTCATATTGTTGCCGACACATGCGCATATTTTCCCACACTGTGACGAACTGAACCGAGCGTGGTAGGCAGTACTAACCTGGACATGATGCAAGTCCTGATCGGCGGCGCCTTGAGCATCCTCCCATGGGATGGAGAATCTATCAAGAAGGAAGTGCAATAGGAATATGATAGACTCTTACTTGGTGTCCATCAGCTTTACTGACTCTCGCAGGTTGTGCCGTATGACCGCAAGATCTTCGAGATTGGCCGGCGTGATGAGCTTGAGTTTGAAAATTCGACCGCGACTCTTTTCTCGCATGGTATTACCCCGCTAAAACAGCGAAACGAACAAGTGAGCTCGACCGAAGTGACAGCTGCGCTACAGGTGACCGACCCAGAAGGCAGAGCTCATCAAACCAAGGTGCATGCGACAGGCGAATGTGGTAGACGTACACTCGCCTGTCACAGTATCGGTAGCGCAGGCTCGATAATATCAAGACTATCCTAGAGGTTACACCGGGATCTTCTCGAGAGACACAACAAACATCATGTGTCTACACACGCTGTCTGCCCGAGCTCTACAATTAGATTCAGAGCAGGTCCTAGCAGCCTAACACGCTCATCACAGAAAGGCATTACGTAACACCGCTTAGGTTCACGAGGGGCGTCCGCGTGGCCTTGAGAAATATACCAACTAATTTAGTTCCGACGACCCCAGAGAGCTAGGCGCTATAAAGTCGATGAGCCCTGACCACCTTCTTATCAGCCGCCCGTGGGATTCCTCTAGTGCTGGGTGTCATCCTTCGCTGGGCTGACTTTTGAGAGCATTCTTGAGGAGGCTTGCTTATCCGAGCTGATATCATAAAACAACCTACATTGTACAGGGCGAGTGACCATGGACCATCCCCTCCACTAACGATAACATGTTCAGGAATAGATATCGGCAGATTAACGATGCTTTCCTGTGATGACACTGAGATCCAATAAACATCATTTGCGAATGGCTAGTGAACATCCACTGACGGTGCAAAAGGTGCGCGCGAAGGCATTTACGATGGGAAGCGACGTCTTACTGGGCCTGTTTCATAGGAGCAAATTGCGCCTTAAACTCAAGTAATGGCTAAAGTATACCTTGAGTAATTAGGACATCCTATTTCACTACTTAAGTAAGCACGTTAAGGCGCCTTAAGTTTAGGAATACTTAAGGCGCCTTAAGTATCCTTGTGAAACAGGCCCACTGCTTCGTTCGGTAGTTGCGTCGCGCCGCGCCACGTAATTCGCCATCTTGCGCCGTAAACAATGCTTGCGAAGGCATCACGTGAGGTCTCAATAGATGGGTTCCGAAACTGGGAGCACCCGTAGCAGAGGTTGGTTTGGGGAAGGCATCACTTAGTATCTCTAAGAGAGAGCGTCCAACCTCAGCTCGGGTCTATCTGATGGGGTAGCGGCCGCAATAGAGACCCTCGGCCAAGCCCGGATCATCACGGCGTTTCGACCGGTCTACAAGAGACTGAGTTCAACGGACGTTCGTTGCTTGGAGATACGCATAGATAACTATATGGTCGGGCTAAGGACCCGTAGGGGTGAGGGTGCCCCTAAGACTTGTGGGAATACCTCGCGTACATCAAGGCCAACGTGAGGCCTCTCTGTATTGGTGATCGTGCTGCTGCGGAAAAATGAGCTCGTGAAGCAATATACAATTACTGGCTACTACTTTACGTGCTAATTCCTGCTCATACTCATGTCTCCGTTTTCATACCATCTCTCTGGTTCCTCGTAGGCGGCAAGGATCGGTGGTCTGAGTATTCCTATGTTCGATGCTCGCCGGTGGCAACCTCTGCTCTATCCTTGCAGTTCTACTTTGTTTCGTATCCTACTGTACTACTTAATGGAAAATAGATTCCGAGTGGTCCACGATAGGGTACATGATGCTTCCGAAGGCTCTTCCACCAAGTGGCAGGGGCCGTTCTCCTTCGTACAGATGGCTGACACACAACTAGGCATGTTCCATGCTGATAGAGAGTGGGACGAGGAGGTAGTCGCATCTCCTTCTCACGGCCATAGACTGCCCATATGATTACCTGAGTTTTGACTAAAGTAGACATGCTGTGCGGATGTGTAGGTTGAGATGGCCTCGCGATCCATATCGTTCATCAACGAATTGAAACCGAAGTTCGTAGTAGTATGCGGTGATCTAATAAACGCTTGGCCCGATCAGGAAGGTGTTCGTCAAGAGCAGGTAGTAACGCTGGTTGACTCCGGCTCTCAGATGTGCTCTTCGTATGTGAATGTTACTTGGTAGCTGATGCTCCTGGCTAGGTTAAGTCGTACATGGACGTTATGGGGAAAATAGTTGAAGATATCCCCTTGCTTTGCCTATGCGGTAACCATGATGTTGGCAATCGGCCCAACAGTCGGACCATAGCACTCTACTCAAAGGACTTCGGCGATGATTACTACACCTTCACAGGTAGCTCGACTCGTCCATTCTAGTTGCACCGACTAGATCTGTTGTAGTTGGTGGTGTCCTCTTCGTGGTCACCAACTCTATTTTGCCGTGGGGTAGGGATAGAGCGGCCCGTGAAGGGGAGACTGGGCCGGATGATGTTGCCGAGTTGGACGAGAAGCAGTGGGAATGGCTTGAGTCTACATTGAAGGAGGCATCTAGAGCCAAGTATACGCACATTGTAAGTAGAGGAGGTCATAGACCAGGGCGATGGGTGAGGACGACACACAGATACTCTTAACACATGTCGCACCCTTTATAAAGGATCCTAACGAGCATGACGGTTACTTTAATATGCCGCAATCCGTCAGGGGAAGGCTCCTGCATCTCGCTTCAGAGGCGGGGGTGAAGGCAATCTTTGCTGGTCATTATCACCGAAACGCTGGAGGATGGTGACACGACGCATTTATAGCAGCTGGTTTGATCACTGTGATGTGCTCAGGTACACCGATCCGTCTGGTCATAAACTCGAAGTCATCACGACCACTGCTATAGGATGTCAGATAAACTCGAGTAGAGAGCCTGATGCGGATCCATTAGAACTTAGTGGGATGGGCGACTTTGTCATAGACGAAACACGGTGAGAAGATGCGTCCAAGCACGGCATCATGCATTGTGTTGTGGATCAGGTCTGGACTACGCCAAGTCGACGTCACCGAAGAAGCAGTGTCGCATAAGTTCATTACGGTTGCGGAGATGATGGATCGTTATGCGAATCTTGAATGAAGTCTACACATATTGAAACCACACCTTTTGCACGTATTTACCCCTCCGTATCGTTGATTGGCTGTGAAGGTACGGCGAGTTGTGTGTGTACAGAGTGCGTTGTGTGAAGTCTCGATGGGGGTGGGAACTAGGATGTTACAACGAGACATCCAGGCTGCACCATCTTCTTCCGCTTGGGTTGGGAAAAGACCGGATAACATCAGATTTTTGTAGTGAACGAGACACATCAAGAGGACGTGTTCAAGACCGTTTCCACAACGATTATGTGTTCATATGGCCTGAGAAAACTCTGATTTGTGCCCTGAGATAAACGAGTCCCAGGCGAGATTCGATGCCGGGCAATCGAATAGCCATGATGATTCATGTTGTAAGTTGGTATAACGCAATTCTAGCACTCCAAAGGTCAGACACTCATCTTTGAAATGTAATGACGGTACTGAAGCAGTAACCATAACTATACGCTCGGCCGAGAGGAAGAGCTTTGTGAGCATGCTGCTCAAGGAAGAGATGCGCACTGCAGTATTACCCCGGCTTTTGGACGGTGGAACCTGGAATGGAGTTGCCAGTACTACACAGAACTCCGAACCACTAAAGATGCACGTTTGCGAGAGTGGTGCAGACGAACCGCACGTGATTACTCTCCTAAAATCTAATACGATGCTACATTCGAGCGACTCGTTATTCAGACTAAGAAGTCTTCAAGCACTGCCCTGGAGTTATGATTCAAGTGTAAGTGCATTACGTATAGTTGCTGGAGACTACATCGATCCATTCACCTCATTCGGTTACACCTGATATTTGAGGTGAGCCTGGACTCTTTGTTTTATGTTAGTGTTGACAGAAGTATGTATTAAATGGCAGCGGATTTCGATTAAGGAACCTTTGAGTTATGAGCCCAATACGGTATCCAGTGCGCCAAGCTGTTGATAATAGTAGGGTGTGTTACTTAGTTACATCGAGTATGTCAGGTACCTGCAGATCTTCCATCATACTAACCACTTCGCCATGGGTCAAGTAGCAGCTCCTTGTTTCGATTAAGGGACCTTTGGGTTACGAGCCCAACACGCTATCCACTGCGCCAAGCTGCTGATAATACTAGGATGTGTTACTCAGTCACCTCGAGTATTTCAGGTACTTGCACGTCTTCCACCATACTAACCACTTCGTCACGGGTCAAGTAGCTATCCACTGCGCCAAGCTGCTGATAATATTGTTTAGTCATTCAGTTACATCACGAACATCAGGTTCTTGTAAACTTCCCAGCAAGTTGTCTAATTCGCCAAGTTACTCATCCAGGGTTCTACTCCATTCGGTTACAATTAAGTAGTTACACTTTTCAAGTACACATAGTTTCTTCGGCGCATACTAACTCTAGGAATTGTAGCTGTCTAGAATGGCATGAAATGTACTTAAAATGACTATTTTCAATGCACCATAAACATATACAGTACCGAGAGTACAAGCCTTTGTAGAGCAGTATCACCACCAGAATACTGAGGAATCTCTTCACTACAATAGTGACATACCAAGAGTATTATTTCGTCCGCCTTTCGAAGTTGTGTTCGCGCGTATCTCACTGATATCATTTATTCGGAATGAACTCTTCCTCTTCGGATTTTCGCAGGTCAGTGATCAATGCCCTCAGAGAGGCTGTTCCAAGAGCTAGGAGATACGATATCTTGCTGTAGAGATACGGAAAGGACAGTGCCTTCTGGATTATTTGCTAACCGACTATTTTAAACTTGGTATTGCCATCAGGACACAACAGACCTCTCTCGTAATTCTGTGAATCGTTATGGGATACATACCGAGTGAAGAGCGGACGCTAGACGGAGATGATCATTTTCTTACAGGGTTTCTCGCGAGTAACGTGGACAGATTACGTTCATAGCAACCCCCCTAGCAAGAACTATTGGAAACCCCAGCGTGCCGAGAATTCGAGGTGACCGAGCTCAACCAGACCCCATTGTGTGCCCACGTTCAGCAAGTGTCTACAACACTGCAACTTTCAGCTCATAGCGAGATACACAACATGGTTATGGTAGAAAGATAACAAAATGTAAACGATTCACACCAGGAGTAGCCAGAATACCCACATCATCATCCTGATCACCATCAGAGTATTTTCCATTCCAATCACACCCCATCTCTGTTGTGCACGGGCAGCCTTCGCGCAAAAGCTCCACTCGAGGATGATGACTACGCTGCAGACGATGAGGAACTGATCGTCAACTTGTCCTTCACGAAGGCAGCGAAATCCACGTGATTGAAGTAACGATTGTGGCTAACAACAGCTGTGACGTAATCGTTAGCAGATTCAATCAAGGTCTCCTGAAGCTCCTGAGGTATCATTTTCGATGCCGTTCCTCACCACGAGCTTACCCAGTCGATACGCTCTCCACCATTGATCGTTTTGATGCTTTCAATTGCTGTCTGGAGACTCGCTATCTACGACCGACTCGTCTATTGCTTACAGCGGAAGTCACCTACTGTACCTCATCCGCATCCAGCCCAAGCAAAGACTTCATCGGAGCTATAAACGCTTTCTTTATACCACCATCCTTGGTGGCTACGTCATAGGCGGAGTCTGCCAAGGCCTTCATGACCCCCTTCAACTGTACATGGGCTCTCACACCACCTCCCCCACCATAATCAGGCACCTATAGCAAGGCCTAGGAGATAGAATGACGCTTGCCATAGTACAGTACATGCTCCGGAGGAGCGTCCTTCAACCGGAGGCTCAAGAGGGGCTCTATGCGGTACGCCACGGGGTCCGTTGGGTTGAAGACGTTGAACATACGATCACAGATATGCTAAATTGGACGCCTCTGAAGTCTCTGAGGACTGATAGAAATGCACTCACTTCTGGGATTATATTAGCACAGGAACCTCGGCAAGTGAGGAAAAGCGCCACAGGAGAGCCGATCAAGAATAGACAAGCTACACGACAATGAAGTCCGAAGCTTAGACGCTCTCTGGCAGGTATCTGGGATGTGAAGAAGGAGTGGTATAAAACTCATGCACACGTGATTACACTAATGTCTCTTTGTCTTTGCAGAACGTCGTATACAATCACCGAGCCAAGTGAGTGACATATGAATGATATCCGTGGCGGTGGGTTTGAGGAATCCAGGGAGGCCAAATAGGACCCCACCTAACGACAGAAACGGAATAGTAAAGTGGTGTTGGTACATCATGGAAAGTCTTATTCCGCGAACTACAGTAGTGCTAGGGATGGTAGTTCGACCTATGGCAATGATACCTTGGTGAACGTGGCGAATGTGGGTGCTGCATTTTCAAGCCACATCTTATAGGAGGATCTAATGGAAGATGAGATTTTACATCTGCTATCGGATATTTTCTGATGCAAAAAGCAGTAAAACAGTCTGGCGATTTCTTGAGCAACGATGAAGGCGAAGCATGTATGAGTGAAACCTGCATCGGAATAAGGGACGAAATCACAACGCACCGTATTATTGATGTTCTGTACAACTTCTTCTCTAATTTTATACTGATACTCAGAGCCTTGGTAGAATAAAACATCGGAAATGCAGTCGTTGGTCATAGAACCTGCGCGGCCAGGGTAGCGTATTATAAAGGTAAGGTCATTATTACGTAGGATGGGCACAGATGGGAGAGTGATAGCCTCCAATTGCCGCTTAACGGCGTCATCTCGAGTGTGGATAACGGAATGCCATTCTACGGGGAGAAATCTGATCGATGACATTTTCGCGAGCTCATGGATGCTACCAAGTCCGAGAGAAGACTCGTATGGTGAGGGAGGTTGTGAAGACCAGTAAGCATCGACACGTGGAATCTCACTCAATTCTAGAGCCGGACGCTGGCTCGTTGACCATGGAACGGAAACCTCGACATTGCTCGACTAAACCGGGCTGGGAATAGGCTTGTTGCGACCAGAGATGCTCACCAATGCCATGAATGCATATGACCTAAACTAGAAAGGTATCATCGCGAAGAGCAGGGACGTAAGGAGCATACTAGATCTGTGACGGGTACAGCTGTATCACCATAGGCAGGGACACCGGACCAACCACGAGTGATAGGGACCTTCGGGCTGAAGGAGTCCAACCGTTCGAAAGATTCGTCAGTTCTCCCTTTCGCCGCGGCACCTCATAAACCATCCTATTGTATTTACGACTTCAACGATCTCCTGCGTCTCTGGATGCAGCTCGATACGTCTTCTGCCATCTGGTAGCACCTGTTGGTGGCCAATGGCTCGGCTGTCTGTGGATGCATCCTCACCAATGGAGTGGAAGTTACGCTTGCCGACTTGGCCCAATTATCGATCATGATGGACTCCTCCTCGGTATAGGGTATACCTACTGGGACGTACACTTTCTTATTGATGTCCTCAGTACCCTCTTTATGCCACAGCGCCCTGGCCACCCGTTTGCTCTGTGCCTTCCAGAAGCGAGCCGTCATAGTGCCCGCACGAACATCAACCAACCAGCGATAGCCGTAGACGCACACCTCACCCTAGAGATAATCAGTCAGCGTTGGTCGGGCCCAGTCTAGTACTACTTGGCCTATGCTCACAGCAGCATTCAATCGATGCTGATCACATCGAGGGAAGGCCGTCCATGAGGCCCCGGCCTGGTTCACATTGGACCGTTCTAGAGTGGTCGCCTCAGAGCCCTCGCCAAAACTCGGCTGATGGACCCACACGAAACTGATGGGAAAAAAGAGGAGTGTACGAATATCGAAGTATCGTAGATGAATTGCAGTAATCGCTAACAGAACGTACTCTTGCTGCATACTCCAGTTGATGAGGAAGTGTTGAAGTATGCCAGTTGAATCGCTCACTTGGGCGCGCGCAACTGAAGATGCGCGCGCAACTAAGAAACGAAAAATAAGAATCGTCACTAAACTTACACCGATGTCACTAGAGAGTGGTTGCAAGTATCCATTGAAGACTAGAGTCATTTCACTCCGTTAGGCTCGAATCGGGGTCCTGCAAAAAGTTTTCATCATCACTAACCATTAGTTCATACATGCTCGAATGCACGCTTTATAGGTGTTCTACGCGCACATATATATTTCTTCCTGTAACACTTGTGGTGAGTTTTGATGACAATCGGTGAAGTGACCCGAAACGGCGATCGGCAACAAGACCAGTGACGAAAGCCTCGTTCAGTGCACTTTTTGAATGCTACGTCGAGCTTTGGTCGGAGGCCTGAGGTGTTATCATCCGCCCACCAGGCTCTCTGTCCCTATGTACTCCGAGGGAGGCGCGTTTACTGTCAACTGGTAAACAGAAGCTGCAACCACCATTGGGAATAGCACCATGTTTAGGTGGCGTAATCGTTATGGTCTGTACTCCCGTCGGCAGACCGACCCGATGTTGGCCGAATTCCTATTCCGTCAGCAAGTGAAGGAGTGGTTCTATGATGTGCCTTCATACAACTACGCGGCGTTGGTCGGATTATCATTGGGGATTCTGGTGGCTGTTATTTGGAGGCATTTCCTGTTCAATCCCGACGTGTAAGACTTCTGCATAGTCCCATAACACATGCACATCCTGCAGTTACGTGCGTCGCCAAGAACTGCGTAAAATGTGGCCCGACAGACATAGGCAATTCGCCTACGCAGTTCCCTACCTCAACCCTCAGCTCAAAAATCTCCTCCTGCCGTAGGAGCTGATCTCTATTTCATGTCAAACCGCCGTCCAATCAGATACAGGAACAGTTTCATCGACAACGAACCGGACTACGCTGACTACAACCCTGTAGGCCTCCGCCCTCAGAGGACCCCAGCCATCCGACGTATACCGGGATTCTTCTGGGCTATACCCCAGTGAGTATTCATTCATCGATGTTGGTTGCGATAAGACTTTCCGCGTCAGATACTTCTTCGAGGACCCTCTTTACACCAGTTGTTCAACGAAGAACATGCAAACCATATATAAGAAGTTGGGCTATTCGGAGCTCTGATTGCTGTACTATGCCCCCCCCCTATGCACATCAGTCCCTCTGGGGTCTGTCATTGGTCTTCTCTCTGGAGAACATGGATCCGATATTATCGAGTTTGCGGATAGCGCTTTTTCGCAAGTGTTGAGTTAAGAACCGTCAGGAGGGCCATTGCCCCACAGTCTCCTATGGAGAGGACTATTTGGTAGAGCGAGGCTCTTGGAATGTTGGAAAATGTGCACGTGGTCAACTACATGTGCTGGGGACAATATGGAAATTCTGAGGAAATTCTTACCGGTTTCTGTACATTCTACCCGTATGTAAACTTCAATCATAGAAGTTATATATTTCAGGAGACTTTGGAGTTAGCTCACTAGCTGTAGAAGAGATATAGTAAGAGAACTAAGTCTAGAGCCCAGCTGAGGAAAGTGACCATGTAGTCCAACATTGGACTATCGAGGTGGCAATCCATTCCTCTAGGATGTCATTGTGGTGACTCATTTGTGATATCAAAACAGAAGGTAGGCTCGATATGTGTGGCAGGTAAACCGCGTTGGTATTTCTATCCCCTTGTCATTGCAGTGAGCTGATGTCGTTCAAAAGTTCCCTTTAGGACAGCATTTGGTGATTACTCTAAAGGGGTCGGCGAATCTCTTCGGGAGGATATCGGCGTTGCTATGTCTCTCCTCTTAAGCTATGTACTCCTATCAGCCCTCAATTTTGATTTATTATGTAATCAAGTGAAGGAGTGGTTCTCAGGATGTCCCTTGTTATAACTATGCGGCACTCTTGGGAACCGCCATCGGCATTCTAATATCCCATGGAGACACTTCCTGTTCGATCCAGACGTGTAAGGTCTCGCTCTCGTATCGGCCTTGGACGCAGAGTCAGATGTGGGTTGTTACGGTGTCACCACTTCCTCTGCCTCGCTTGGAGTACCTTGTAAACTTCTGATGTGACTTTCTTCGCTCAATGGTGCTATCGTGGGAGGTTGATAATGACCGATCCCTGCTGCTCGAGTACCTGCGTCGTCAGGAACTATGGAAGATGTGGCCGGATAGGCATGGTCTGTTCGCCGATACTCTTCTCTATCTCGATACAGGGTTTGAGAGTATTATCAGGCTGTGTGTCTGAGTATATGTCATTTGTCAACCTCTATCTCAACTCAGCAATAGTGCAACAATTACGGCTTGACGAGCTGTCATATGCCTTGCATTTCACATGTCTTTCGGATATCACTTGTTAACTGATGGCTTTGCGTTAGCTGAGTCTTAGTAGGCGAGTATGCTGGCTGCTTCACAACACGGCTGCATATATAAGCATAGGCGTGTTTGGTTCTGAAATTCGGTACCATAAATCGATTTGGCAACCGAATCGGTCATGCGAGAGATTCTTTCCTTCGTTGGGAATACTGGTTGGGAGTTGGTCGGATAATGTATAGTAGTGAGGATGAGTTGTCTTTCGAATGATCATCTCGGATCCGTCAAGATCAGCCTAGATGGGTGTTGCTGCCGACGGCTTGTGCTCAGGCTGGGGAGGTTTGTGACGGAAATTTCCTATTGGGCATGCCAGAAGGGTCGGATTCCTATGGAAATAGGTTGGGACTGATAGCGGAAATGAGCGCAAGTTGACTAGAGTCTGTTCTCTTTACAACGCTTTCCTTCTGTTTTCGGCCGCAAGAGTGTGCAACCGGACACCAATAGCGGCATTACAGCTCGAGATGAAATTCGAGCTTTAAGCTAGTGTGTGTTGTAGAAGGCGATCCTCACGGAGGAGTATCCCTGTCAATCACTACAGGACACTGCTGTTCGATACCAGCTACTGTGGTGGAGAGTCAGAGGCTCGTGCATGATGATGATTATGAGAGAATTGGATGTTAGACAACTAGTAGTCACTGTGTTGTAATACGTCAATTGGGTAATGTCATGTGACTGGGAACGTCCTCCGTGAGAGGCTACGGTATCTTCCAAGTGTTGGTGGATCGGAGTCAACTTCAGTGTTGTTCATGCGAGACCTCTGTACATTGATATCCACGCGTTTCAGACTTCTCGCAGACTAATATGCCGCTCAAATCCAGTAATGAGGGGTCCCTTCTGCCATCGTGGTTCGTCGAGCATGGAATGTCACTATGTGGCAGCAATAAAGTGGACAGCAGAAGCGTATTCCTCGTGGTGAAGGAGATCGTGGACAATGCCATTGACGCTTGTCGTAGTCCAAAAGGTAACAGCAACCTCATCACGCCGAACACCACCGTGATTTTCGCGGCATACTACGAGTTATCTGAGGATCTCCGTCGAAGCGAGCTTGGTAGAGGAGTCTCTCCTATAATCGGCGTGCTGCATGGAGCGATTCGACGACTGTCACCTCAGATCCGCTTAGCAGGACTAAGGTCAGCGTAGTGCTCCGAGATGATCATAAATTCATATGCTCGGACTTCGGTGGTCCAGGAATCGCTGCGCACAGTGTTGACAGTATACGTAATATGTTCTCATCAACGAAGAGTGCCGATCGTGGGAAGAGTAGTGCTGATATGGCATCGTGGTGCTCGAGCGATGTCCGTTTGTCAGGCTTTAGTGGAAGATTTGGTTTGGGGCTGAAGTTCGTCATTTTATTCTTGCATCAGGCGGGGTGTGGAGCTATACAGTATGTAATCATAGAGAACACGCTCACGATGGAAGTATGGTCGTTCATCGCTTTCAGTTTCGAGGTCGTGACGGAGGAAGCACGTCTGGTTGAATTCGATCTGCTAGTGGAGGCTGGCGACATTAGACTCGGGGAGGTTAAGGTGGAGATATCGAGTGAAGATCCAGGCTTCACTACCAGGGTAAGTGGTTTATAACATGGAGGGCACAGTGGGACTCACCAGCCTTCCCTGATCGAAGGTAACCTCATTGTTCCAGGCGGCATATCTTGTCTAGCTGACCGATGAGGTTATATACACACCGCGGTTACATAGAACCTTCCCCGACAGTTCAGCTGTGACAGTTGGTTTCATCACATATTGCTGTTCAAATTGAACAGTTCAATCCAGCGACCATCGAGATCCTGATCCGAGCACACTTCCTGTGCTCTTGTTGAGCACTCTATGTAAATTGTGTAAATTGCTGCAGCTCAACTAGACTGTGCAGGGGCTACGTGATTGGGAAGGAGCGATTCTCGGCCGACTGGGCAGTGACTTCAAGCTTGTTGAAGAATAGGGCATACCGGATATTCATCCTGTACTGACGAGGCTCGAAGAGGGGGAAATGCGAAGTATCGGTTGAGGGTCCAGGAGATGCTCTGAAAGCCTGGAACTCCAACAGCAGCCTAGACTTCTCATCCATCAGAAGAGATCCCTGAAAAGAAGGAATGTCAGTGGTAACACATCGACTGAGGTGTGTAGCATTAAAGTTCTCAATTGGGTGAGGGACCCTAAGGGTCCCTCATTCGACCCTTACTAAGGGTACATGTTTCAGAGAATTATCCTATCCGATGAGAGTAATATTGTGCTCCACACTTTCTTCGGTTTTGTCAGTCATGAAACTCGACTGAAGGTCCGAGCCTCGAACTCCGAGGAGGCTGGCATTAGTCGGCTCCAATTCAGCTATATGTACAGTATCCTGAGGATACTATCCTCCGACTATCACTCGGGATGCTGATGGGCCTCTCAGTCGTCATCACTTCGATCTTAGTCGTCACGGTCGTACAGCTCTTGCTTGTGAACAAGGTGCGGCTAGGGAACTAGGCTATGCGGGATTATATGGCTCGTTCCGCCATGTGATGTAGGTGTCAACTACATATCAATAAATACCTTGGAACATATAATAACTCATTAATCTGGCGGAAATCATGCGTTGAGGTTGATCGTTGGCTCGCCGAGCTCGCTATTGGCAATGAATTACTGCTATATACTATGCCAATAGAAGCAGGCACCTTCACTATCAGTCCCAGATACGTCCGTGGAGATCTCATTTTCCAAATGGATCGCCCCCCATGGTAACCTATATCTGGGGAGGTTAGAGGCTCTTGCTACGCTTTCGCCGGTTCAATTGAATCGAGCTCTCCCCTATGAGTTGGGTTTCGGATTTTATAGTACGCCGCACCGATAGCTACACATCCACGCTGACTTCGGAGGTGTAAGCCCTGAATTTCAGGGCCTGGGGTGCGCCGAGGGCAGAGCTTCCAAACTACTAAATTAGTAATTACTACTAATTATTAGTAATTACTAGTAATTCCAAATCACTATTATTGATAAACAAGTAATTTACTTGTGTTCCTGTGTTATCAGTGATAACTTGTCACGTTATAGGTTTCTTCGCGACTGCCTCAATCCGAGGATGTGGATTACGATATCGTGGAGAATTTGATTGAAGAGTATATCGAGCTCGCGTCTCACTTTCTTGGCAAGAAGAGTCCGGCATTCGTGTACAACGACCAACCGCTTGGAGGTGCCAACGTCTTTCGCTACGCTAATCCTAATCGATCATCGTTTTCCTCGATCCTGCAGGCATAAGTCGTTCTTCTCAGGCTCATCCTTTCTCGATCGTCGACCAGGTCAGCCGATGGCCCGCTACACTGTCAACTGCGTATCTGTAATGGTGAGAACGAGGCGAGAGCGAGATATTTCTGCTCGGGTCGATGCTGAACGGACTATTCTTGTAACGCGCCTTGTCAATGGCACTGCAATGGCAAATTTACAAGGCTGGTCTGAATGCTGTTTGCTCAAGGGCCTTCAGGAGGCTTTGCAGGGGAGATCCGGCGATGAGTTCGGTATCGTCAAGGTAGGCCCCCAGGCTCGAGCCTTCGGGATGTTGACTGCTGAAGTCGACTGTTCTGTGTTCGCTGAGTGTCCGAGTGAATGGGATGTCCTCGAAGTTTTCATCAATGTGGAAAGTCATCAGTGCAAGTTCGGATCACTCTCGAAATCGGCACTGGTTGGCTTTGCGCCGTCAAACGGGAGCGATCCTCTCGCGATCTTGATATCAGCTCTACGCAGCTGTCTGCGAAGACTCAAACGAAGATGGCCAGGGATCCTTCCGAGCGTCGCTGACTGGAATGCTAAATGCGCTGCAGATATCTGGGCTCCAAGGCTTTGTGAAATAATGGGTCGAGTCTCGAAGCGGGACATTGATGTCTCGAGAGTGGAACAAGGGCTAGTCGATCTCCTTGAGCGAAGCAGACGAAAAAAAGACCTCCAGCACCATATTGATGACGATGCGTCGGCAGAGAGCTCATCCCACGAGGATAGTCTTCAGTGATCATCCAGTGTCACGATATGGCACATCTCCGCCGCAAGTTGTCAAAAATCCATGACTCATTTGAGTCCATCTCATATTCCACAGTTTTCTGTGCGACTGGGCTCGATTACGTATTTCAATTTTGCTCGTATCATGCTCATTGGGTACGCAGGATAACAGGTATGAGTTTCGTCTGTGGACACAGTATTTATAACCTTGGGTTCACCCGTCCATGTCAAGGGCACTCTTACCCCCTCCGCCGCCTTCGGGAGCTCCATCGACTAGTGGTGATCATCACTATCGTCCTCCTCATCATCACCATCATCAGCAACAGCAGTATAACTCTACCCAGTCTACTGCAGCCTGCAGTCCTAGCGCGACTGCGACTCTTCGGGGGAATAGCAGTCATACTGTTACGACGGATGTGGAGATCCTCGAGGATAAAAAGGGGAGGAGGAACGGAGGGGTCCCTGTATACTATGAAAAAGGAAGGTGTGCTGTCCATACCATCATCATCCCTGAGTATTTTGCATGATGCGATCAGATTCCTCGGTAAGGGAGGCTTCGCAAAGGTATACGAATATACAGAGCAGAAGACGGGACAACGAGTGGCTATCAAAGCGGTTCAAAAAGCCAGCCTGACCAAAGAGAAGGCCAAGGCGAAGTTACAGAGCGAGATTGCGATACATCGCTCGCTGAAGCATCCGCGGTAGAACACTGGCTTTCACGACCTCAAGTGGAGGCCTACTACTACGACTATGTTGTCATCAGAATTGTGCGCTACCTCTCTCACTTTGAAGACTCTAACTGTGTCTACATCGTCATGGAGCTTTGCGCACATGCAACACTGAATGAAATTCACAAGCGGCAGAAACGGTAGTACGATGGGCTGCATTTGTGGTATGAATGACTATGGTGGCATAGATTCACTGAACAAGAGGCGCGGCATTACATTTGGCAACTGTGTGATGGAGTGAGATATCTCCATCAGAATAGAGTCATCCATAGAGACCTCAAACTCGGCAACCTGTTCCTCAAAGACAGTAGGTTGGAATCAGTACCCTCGACATTGAAGTAGCGGAGGTAGGTACAGACCTTAAGATCGGTGATCTTGGTCTTGCGGCTAAGTTGGATTATGATGACGATAGGAGGACTACAGTATGTGGTACTCCGAACTACATCGCGCCAGAGATACTAGAGGGAGCCCATCACAAGTAGGTCTCAGCATCGGCTCCATCATAAGTTATCGCTCGCTGGCCCCAATGATAGTGTGTTATGATGTAGCGCTCCTGCCTAGCATTTGCACTATTGTATTGGTTAGAATTGCTTATACTGGCAGTAGATACAAAGGGCACAGCTACGAGGTAGACATATGGTCTATCGGTGTTATTCTTTACACTATGCTATGCGGACGGTAAGTGCTCTTCCAGTGGCAGCATACTGCTCCCGTCTGCGTACTGATTATCGAAAGTCGCCATCTATTGCGCTGTCAGGCCACCGTTTGAGGATCAGGACGTCAAGGCAACTTACAGAAGAATTCGTCATTGCCAGTATAAATTCCCCGGTATGATTACGGGAAGTCTTCACAGTAGGGTTCTCGGTCTCAGATAGTGTTTCCATTTCCAACGAGGCTAAGTGCCTTATACAGAGCATGCTGCAGATAGAGCCGAGTAAGACATCAGCGGTGCGATGGTGTCGTGGTTATGGCATCAAGCCATCTTGCCAAAGGTTGTTGGTTCGAATCCTCTAGTTCGTGTTTAGCTCTGCGGCCTACACTAGATCAAATAATGAGCTCAACTTGGATGATAGGGAAGACACCAGCCCCACAAGTCATGAGCAGCAATCCGATGCATTATATAGTGAGACTACTTATGAAGTACGTCTGTATCAGCTATGACAGACTGGCAATAGCAATGGCAACAACAACAACAATAAGCATCAGTATCATCACCGTACAACAGCAAGTGATACATACAGTAGTGGCAATCCCAACAGCTTACCCCAACCATCTGCCCGTACTACGCCATACTTCTACAATCCTCCCCCTGCCCCCGCATCTCTGCTCACTCAAAGATGTGCATCGCCGCGTCCAGGACATCTCCTCTCGGGTGCAGCGTCTCGAGCGTAGGGACATACGCGCCTGCCATTACGACCACCATCATGTTTCGGTTGTGTCAGGTGTACCCCCGACCGCATGCTGAATCCAGACATTGCCCGTATCGACAGCCCTCAGGCAAGCTCGATGATACCACTCCATGGACAACTCGTCTGTCATAGATCAGCACACGCTCTGGCACGATCAGTGCAAATCGGGGAATGTGCTTATCGAGGGAGCCCTCACCCTCGGCATCTTCAGCATGTCGAACACAATTCACTGGGATGTGAGTGTAGCACTTGGGCAGTGTCGGGAAGAGTATCGATGCAGGCGCTCTCCATCTCCTGCGTCACATCCCTCGAGGCCGGCGATGCAGGGAGGTTCAGCAGCGAACACAAATGGTCGGCCTCCTCATCCATATGTGGGACACGAAAAATAATCAACTTTTGACTGTTACCATCCCTTAGCCGGCACTGCGACGAACTCCTCAGTCTGTGGCTACTTTGGGAGTAGCGAGTAGTCCAGGAACGGTAAGGGCTGGTCATCATTCATGATAATCTTTCTGCTCTTATGCAGTCCTCTCGGCGCATACCGAGTCACATGCGGCAGGGCAGCACAACAGCATCAGGACGACGTCACGTAGGCACTGCTGGCTCTCGTCAATTCACATACCATTTTCAGCCTATACCGTCTGCTGGCGATCGGCTCACTCCTGTAGTGTCTCCGGGCTCAGACAAAGATAGTAAGTCTACTCTTTGGTAGAGGCCAGTGTGGCGTTCAGATGTGACTTCGCCTCCCACCACCGGTTCGAAAATGAAGGATGGTCTTTTGCGGCAGGCATCTCCGGTAAGTAGTACCATCGAGATGAGACTATCACGTCGTTCCTGTTTCGCAGTTGCTGCGGACGCGGAACGTTCAGGACAACCATCCCACAAGTAGGGATTAATGATAAGTTTGGTGTACGGTGTGATTCGCCAGATATATCAACACCTCAAGCAAGCTACTCATCGGCGGATGGTACATCGTCAGTCAGTGGTCACGTCATACGCGGTCCCACGGGACGGGTTCTGGGGCGGGAGAACGGTCCGTTGCCGGCTGTATGGATCACCAAGTGGTGCGACTTCACATCGAAGTGGGTGTTGAATGGGACATGAAGTCTTTCATGGAGAGTCGGCATAGGTACGGGATCGGTTTCCTCCTCTCGAGTGGCAATATGGGAGTTTACTTCAACGACAGCACGCAGATGATCACTCTTGAGCCACCAACTGATACGCCACTGACGAGCACACGAGTGGAGTGGGTCTATCGTGCTGATCCTTCGCCGTGGTCATTATCGTATCCCAAGGTATCGATATAGAAGCAGCAGCAGCAACACAGAGCGGATGGAGGTGCTCCCAATGGATGGTGGTTACTGTACCTATGATGCGGTAGTCTGATGACTGATGAGCTCAGGCCAAGGCAGCCAAGTGGAGTCTGAGAACCGTCCAGAGAAGGGTCAGGGAAGCACTAGAGATGTCAAGAAGAAATTGACCTTGATGAAGCAGTTCCGCGTCTTTTTACTTCAAGACGATACGAAGCGTGAAGGGGTAGGTTGGCTGACTGCTGCCATTGAGGATGGTTCGCTCTTGTTCAGGTAAGATTCGGCCATAGTCGAATCGATCTGGAGGGTCGCTCGTCGACTGACCATCCCGAAGCCTCCCATGAAGTCGTGGGAATCCGCAAGTTCCTCGATACTAAACACGGTATACTGTTCACGTTGACTGATAAGATTGTACAGGTGAGTAGTCATGCTCATCATCATCATTTCGGTTCTTCTTCAGTGAGCCCCTCTCTCAGGTCTGCTTCTATGATGGCTCAGAGCTGGTTCTGTCGCCCAAGACGGGGTCTGCTGTCTATGTGTGTCGAAAAACTGGTCGTCGATATACGTACAAGTCGATGCTTACAATCTCGGGCCGACCTTGTGTGATTGCTGATAGGTTCAGCCTCAGTCGGTTGCCCGAACTCAATAACCTCGGTTCTCGTGATCAAACGGCCCATGATGTGGTAAGTTGGCACCACTCCGGTTCCGCTGGTGCATCTTTTTCTACAGGCTAAGCGTGTGAAATTCACCAGGGAAATCCTCAGCCACTCGCACTCCTCGCACGGCAGCGTTACGCAGAGTCGATGATCATTACGTTCTATGGCACTGCTGCTATTGCCACTACTAATGTAGCCGACGACAGCCTCTTTTTGCACTTGTAATTACAATGATAACACCATTAGTTGTTATTTCCGGGGCTGCGAAGTGATGATGATAATAACTTACAGTCCACATTCAACACATAAAGCAACATTATTATTATCCGCACTTACTCCATGGAAGTAAATGCATGTAAATTTAGTTGCTTCTCGGTTTCCTAGACTTGAGTTCTTCTACCCGTAGTGGGAACCGTCCACGATAGATGGTAGTGAATCAACACGTCAATTGCATTTCTCTTTCCAGAACGCAGCTCCTCAGAATATACCACCGATAGCCACCGATACAAAAATAATTGTTATAGGACTTGGTTCACATGCCCTACGAGCGACGAGAATCCACAATACCATGTATAGGATATGTAAGAGTCGTCACACGTATGAGTACGTCAATGTCGCTTGAGTGTTACTCTGCATCCCTCGCGCACTACTGCAACGCAAAGCAGTGACTTCGTGGTAACAGTAGAAATTTCCAGAGTGGCAACAACATAAAGACTGTACCGTCCAAGTCACCAACAGCAGCAGAGGCATCACTAATAGGAATATGGTTTGCAGGAGACAACGATGGGAATGTTAGTAGTTGCAGGGGTAATGGAGATGGAAAATAATAGCAAGATTGTACTACTACCTTCGACGGATGAGACGGCAGCACCAACATGCGTCCCATTAGGGATGATGCAACGATGAAGCCTTGTAGCAAAAATGCGATACTACAATGATACATACCGTCACGACTACCAATATCATCATTGCTAGCTCGAGATGGCTGCCACCCTGATGACGATGATGATGATGAGCATGTGCTTTATTTATCATAAGAAATATCAACAATACATAATGAGTAGCATGAGGAGGATATCTTGGTCCCTTAGAATCGGATGACTATCATCAGGCTCTTATGACCAGCCTCTACTACGAGCTTGAGCCAGAAGCAGCATTCTTCGCCGCAGCCTCCTTTTTCAACTGCTTCTGGCTCTTCTTCTTAGCAGCAGGTATCTTCATCTTGTGAGCGGCGGCAGCAGGGTTATGACCAGTCATCAAGGCCTTGATGTTATTGGCATCAGTCTCATTGGCCATAATCTCCTTCAATGACATCTTCTTCGGTACAGGTGCCACAGCTCCACCACCACCAGCCTCCTTCCTCCTCATAGCTGCCTCATCACTGGGTGACCACAGCCACCCCTTATGCAGTGAAGAGGGATCAGCAACGTCCTTGCCAGCAACCTAACCACCACATTTACAACTTCTTTAATTTCCCATCGCTACTACCACTGTCTTGGGCTTATCCTTCTCATCGCCCGGCCTTCTAGGATATACAGTCCTCGGGCGACCTTCCGCGCTTCCACCTCGGCCTCCACGACTAATAGCTTGCTTATGCTGGCGTTGCTGCTCCGCATCGACCGAAGACTGAAATAGAATGAATCTAACCGTAATCCTCGACCACCATAACCCCTACCCTGTCATCTTCCGAGAGTCTGCTACCCGAAGCTGGATGTCTGTCGGATCCACCTTGTGGAGATTCCGAAGTGGCGATCCCAAGCAGACCCCTCAGTGAGTCCGAAGCCGATTCCCTGCCACGACCCCTGTCACTATGTGCCCCTAAGGCGGCACCAGGAGAGACCGATCGGTGTGGTGGGGGAGAGGTGGACGAAACCGCTGCCGACTGCTGCTGCTGCTGCTGAAGACAACTTCATAACAACGAAAACATCATTGTAACTCTGCATTACATTCCTATTGGGCTTCCTAGTTCTACCGTGACCTAATCCGCCCTCATTGGACCTTCGAGCACTTGGAGGCTGCACTGGAGGCTGCACCGGTGGGGGAGGAGGTGGTACGGGGGCTCCTGCTGGTGGGAAGACCCTCCCAGCAGAATGGACACTCGAACCAATAGAGATATTAGAATCCTGCTTCTCGAGCCCCGACATAGCTGTCCTCGTCTGAGCCGGAGATGTACTAGAGGCACCGAGGCTGGTAGTGCTAGAGGAAGGCCGTGGAGGAGCCGCAGCAGTCCCTACTGGACGTGGAGCATCCTAACAATGATGAATCCGTTGAAGCCAATGCTGCCCATGTATTACGATGAACGGGTGGCTCCCTGGTGGGAAGATTCTGTTTAGAGGAGCGAATCTGCTGCCAGGAGTAGGGGCACTTGAGGTCGAGAAAGCCAATGGGAGGTCCACATCGAAGTAGCTAGCGGCATGCCAAGCTGACATAATAACAGCAGTAAGAAGACATCTTACACAGGAGTGTTTCTTACTCTTCATTTGAGCGTTGGAGAAAGGGCCCTGCTTATGGCCGTGTGGGTCCAGGTATGTCCAGAATAGGGCATTGACATCGAGGCCAGGAGATGGGGTACCCACAAGGGCCGATCCACCGGTAGGCAGTGACGGAGAAGGGGCAGAGTGATGATGAGAGTGGCTACCACTACTGCCAGCACTGATGAGCCTGTTCAAGGCAGACATACCCGTGGTAGCCCCAGCAGCTGGAGCGTTTGATGGACCACTCCCATGCTGGGCCTGAAACACATGGTGGATGATGGACCTGAAGTTAGAGGCTCTTAGGCAGGACCTGCTGCTGCTTGGTCTCCTGCTCCTGCTGCTGAAGTAACTTCTTCATCTGCTGTTGTACTTGCATTTGTTGCAGCCTCACTAGAGCCGCCTGCTGTTGCTGTTGAGTAGCAGCCATAGTCCTTGCCTATGAACCAGAAGCATCCATGTCCAAAATCACTACTGGTCTTGTTACTTGCTCTTCAGCCTGCTCCCTCTTCTGCTGAGCTTGAGCCTGTAACTGTTGGAGTAAGGCCGGCACTCCTCCTCCACCTTGTGAAGAGGCGTTGCTTGAGGCCCTCTCCAGTATCTGTTGAACCTTGGCAGTGGTGGCAGGCGGGGCAGCACGTAGTTGCTGTAGTAGGGCATGCTGCAGCTGCGCCTGAGTGGCAGTTGCTGCCGGTTGAGCCTACCAATAGCAGATGAGCGTATGAGAATTCGTTGCGTGTGTAACCTACGGTTGAAGTAGTCGGGACTCTGGGGACTGGAGCTGGTCGGTCTACTGGAAAGGCAGAAGACGGACTTCCGAAGATATTAGCGGGGGTTTGTGTCGTCCCTGCTGTGGGTGGGCCACCGAAGAGTGAAGTCGCCACCGGAGCGAAGGGGGCTGATGTAGAGAATGGAGTGGTAGATGGGAAGCCCGATGATGGTTGGGTTGGAGGGACAGCAGGCTTGGGGTCATCCGCATGGAGGCTCTCAAATAGTCGAGCGAAGCGACTACCAGAAGAGGCAGACCGCGCAGGACCCTACAAAGATGTAGTCATAGCTAAGTACGGCGAATAACTTCCGTATTACCTCTGCGAAGGCTGATACAACACCATCGTGCTCTAGTGGGGGACCGAAAAGGCTATCAGTAGTGTCACCAAAGAGACTACTAGAAGCCTCAACAGAAGGGGCGGCAGCAGCAGCAGGAGGAGGAGCTGCTGATGTTGATGCTTGTGGCATCTGACGCAACCCATAACGCTGCGCCATGCCCCAGTGACTCTATTACCCTGGTATCGAATGGGCCACCGCTAGATGGTGGATTTCTGTTGGTATGTGGTTCTGGAGAAGCGCCTCTCAACAAGGCCATTGTGAAGGGGTCAACCGCAGGAGCCGGGGTTGTTGGAGTCGCCTCGGTCGTCGGCTTGATCAACTCCTTAGGATGGCTATCTTCCTCCTTATGGAGAGTCCTGCACGGTAGACCAGTCACAACCACCATAATGTGCTATGGCATGTGCAGTTACTTCTTGAATGGGGTAGTGGTGGGGACACCAGAGGGAGGATGCTCCTGCTGTTTATGGTGATAGTGATCTCCTTCTGCGGCAGTAATATCAATACGATGATGTTGGTCCGCGCCATGTGAATGCACCGGGGATGTATCTGCCGACTCCAGCATTGCCTCAATAACTCAGCCACTCCTACTACCTCCCCTTCTAGCGGCCCCTGGATGATGAGCAGCAACCCTACGCCATGGCGGTAGTGGTTTGCCATCCTCCTCATCTGCGGATGAATATCGGACTGATGCCTCTTGATAGCTGATGCTGTCGCTTACCTCCTGCAGTTCGGCCACCTCTGAGTGCACCCCAATCCCTATTCCCTTGCTTAGGCTTCACCACTTGCCAGCCATCATCATGATGATCGGGTGAGCTAGCTGTATCTACAACGGAACCCGATTCAGTGGTTACGATAAGGCCAAGGGAAGGGGAATAGAAGAATACTGAGGGATTGCAGGAGCAAACCCCACCTTCGTGTTCTCTTCCCTTGCCCTTGCCGAGGCCCTTCCCCCCAGTGGCCGTATCAAATCCCAAAGCGCCTCCTCCCTTACCACCAGCACCTTTTCCTCTTCCTTTAGCTCCTGAATGGGGTCCTCGACCTAATGAGAATCCAGGGATGCGTAAACGAGACAAGAATAATACTCGTCAGGCTACCCCCTAGTTCTCCAGCGTTGAAATCATCAGCCTGCTGCTGTGATCCAGGTCGTTGCTTCGCTGTTGGCGGGGGGAATCGATGGACTCTTATTCCTATTGGATTGACGATGTCCGGTCCGGGACGACCGGGGTACATCCTAAAAATACCCAAGGTTGATTCCTGTCCAACGTCACCATACAGTTCTACCTAAGTAACTGTTGCCTATTGTATTGGTATCCGCTTGATGACGAGTCTGACGGTTTGGTTTCTATCATCGCTACTGTTGCCATGATTAGCGTAATATATGGCTAACTACCAAAAAGGCTGAACTCAAAAACCCACATAGTATGAAAAAATGCGCAAAGAAGTCTCAGGTGGGATTCGAACCCGGGATCTACGGTGACACAGCCGTGCGCTCCACCGCGCAGCCAAAAAGGCGAAAATCGTAAGCTTCAGCGTTTCCATCGGAGAGGTTGGAAATCTGGGGAGATAGCGAGATCGATTAGGACTGAAAGTGGCTCTCGCGCGCCACAGACACCCTGTGTCATCATCAGTACTCTTCCTCATTTGAGCTAGTGCTGCTCGGCTTCCACCACCCTCAACACGCCTCGCAACTCTTCCGACATGTCGAACGCTAAGAACGCCACCACTGACGCTGCCGCTTCCAAGGAGAGCCACTCCGATGCTAAGGCTACTGCTAACGCTGCTGCTGCCCATACCAGGCCCCAGCCAGTCGATCGTGCTTACTATGAGAAGAAGATCGACAAGCTTAGCGAGGAGATCAAGGGCCTTCAAGCTAAGGTAAGGAAGTCATAACTACTGTATGTGGCGGTTTGTTATGGCGGTTTAGGTTCACGATCTCAACGAGAAAATCCACGGCAAGTCCGAGGGTAAAGATGAGTTCCTCCGCAAGCGCGATCTGCTGAAACAGCAGATGGACGAGCAGCAGAAGCTCGTGTCCGACTTGGAGACTAAGAGGAGCAAGACTCAGGATGGTATCCATTCCAAACAGACTGAGGTAACCACAACTCGTCGCTACTCTGCGTTTGCTCATCATTACACTCTTATTAGGGACGTCAACTGCGTGCTGAATTGAGTAGCATGCAGAAGAAGTTGGGCTTCTCTACTGAGGACCAAATCGATGACAAGATCGCTGAGATCGAGTACAGGATGCATACTGAATCCTTGGACCTCAAGAAGGAGAAGGAACTGTAAGTTCG